GGGTTTAAAAAACGTTTAATTAACGTATGTGTGTTTACTGGGACGTATATTATAATTTATTTCTTTGGAATTGTCCCGTGTGACCCAGGGGAAAAATTTATGTTTTTAAAACATAACCTCTTTACTGTTTTAAAAATAAAAAATTGTATTTTTGCCCTTAAATCCATTACTATGATTAAGAAGATTATAATCTTCTTAACTATGATACTTACTTTCGAGAGTCCAACTGGTACCTTTACTACTGTTTATTACTGTTACACAGGAGAATGCACAGTTTTGCCACGATGGTATAAAAAATACAAAACAACGTGTTGTGGCTTCAAGATAGTTTAAAACACCATTTCCTACTAAAATCCGTTACCAAATACATTGCCGCATGGGGGCAGCACTAAAAAAATTGCGCTCAATTTAAAAGGTCATTTATAAAAACTGTGACCAGGAGACGTGACCTAGGGGACCAAAATTAAGGGACAAACTTTAGGGGTTATTTTAACAACTTGCATTTTTTAATATGGGCTTTTCTGTAATATTTGGAATATATTCTCAACTATTTAAAAAAAAGGAGAATGCAATTTTACTCTAAGATGTTTAAATAGCATTAAGTAGTGAATTTAATTGCAAGTGGGACAGCTACTTTTCTGTACTGTTGGGGAAAGTTTTTTTTTAATTTAAATATAAAATTTTACAATTTTGCTTAAACCACAAACCAATTGATTTCGCTTAGTAAAGTTCCAAATGGCGTTAAACTCAATTTTTTATAAAATATTAGAGTTGAGGGACAGCAAATGTACAAGAAATTTGAAAATAACCCACATACGCCGTTGTATTTTTTAATCGAGAAATTTATATGCATGCAAGAAAATCTAAATATTTTTTAGTCAAGTAGTCATTTTAATTCTATTAATTTTAAACGTCATCTAATACGTGTAATTCGACATGTATTAAAAATATCATAACGACATTTTAATTGCATATGCATATTGCATATTCAATATTGAATTAAAAATATGCTTTGCATTTTTTTGTCATTTGAACATTTTAATTCATTTTATTTTAGAGGTTAATGTGATTTTTATAATTCTACCCCAATTAAAAATATCACAGTAACATTTTAAATTTAATGATATTTTTAATTGGAATTTTTCTGTCTAGTTGATTTTTTTAATTCGAATTTTTCTGTCCAGTTAATATTTTTTTAATTCGAATTTTTCTGTCTAGTTGATATTTTTAATTCGAATTTTTCTGTCTAGTTGATCATTTTAATTCAAATTTTTCTGCCTAGTCGATATTTTTTTAATTCCAAATTGGAATTAAAAAAATATCGTTTCATGGTACGTACAATTGGCGTCTCCGAAATGTGAACGATTTTTTGTTGTCATGGATTTTTTTCATAAAATTTATTCGTTCATTCCTGGCTTCGGCCAGTGGTGTTACATATAGAAGGGAGAATACTAAGAATAAGAACAATATCCCAAATCGTTCTATTTTTTTAATAATATTTTAACAAACAATAATATAAACAATATAACAAATAAATTAACTTTAATTTGGTTTTATACAACAATATAAATTAACAAGTAGGTAAATACACAATAAAAATAACATAACTAAATTAACATATTTCTCAAGAAAATTGGTTTTTAAGTGAAATAGCGGCAGATTTAAATGTCAGTAAAAGCTGCATATTTTATATCAAAAAACGTTGGCAAAAACAACAAAGATTGAGAAGACCTATCAGGCAAGGTGTAGGTAAAATCTCCAACGAAAATGAAGACAATGCTCTTGTCGCACTTATTAGGCAAAATCCTTTCAATAGCGCATTTAAGGCCCGAGAAGATACACAATTTCCAGGATCTCTTCGAACAGCTCAAAAAAGATTGAAACAAGCTGGCTTAAAAAACTGTGCTGCTAAGCTATTTTAATACTTAATTGCAGAGCCATTAGCTGCCACAACCCTTTGCAACCTTCTTGGCATGGACATTATTAGCTCACGCATGTCGTATGAATCAGCAAGCTCATCCCAAGAATTTTCAACAGCACTCCATAGTTCATCTCGGTTTGCTGGCCTAAAGTCCCGTTGATAAATATTTTTAACTATAAAACCCCACACGTTTTCAATGGGGTTTAAGTCAGGGCTTCTAGCTGGCCATGGCAAAACAGTTATGTGGTTGTTGTTTACCCACTCTGTAACCACGCGAGCTGTGTGAACTGGTGCATTGTCCTGTAATATAATATTTATTAGAATCGTTTTTGAATACTATACAGTTCTCTTACATGTTGAAATATAAAGTTTTCTGGAAACACATGTCTAACTGAAGGTAGCATAACGTTGTCCAAAATCCTGGTATAGTGCTCAGCCGTTAATCTACCATCAATTTCCCAACATACTCCCGGACCATGGATGCTTATCCACGCCCAAACATTTATGGAAAAGCGTCCACTATTTGAGGTTTTTAATGTATAGTTCTCCTCAAATCTTGCGTTTCTTGGACGATATACACGCAGCCTTCCATTATTGCAAGATTGGAACGTTTTTTCATCCGAAAATATAACATTATTCCAAAAATCTTCTCCATAATTTAAATAGTCATTGGCGAACTGGACTCTCCTGCGCTTATTTTCTTCAGTTAAAAAAACCTTATGAGCAGCAGCACAGTTTTTTAAGCCAGCTTGTTTCAATCTTTTTTGAGCTGTTCGAAGAGATCCTGGAAATTGTGTATCTTCTCGGGCCTTAACTGCGCTATTGAAAGGATTTTGCCTAATATGTGCGACAAGAGCATTGTCTTCATTTTCGTTGGAGATTTTACCTACACCTTGCCTGATAGGTCTTCTTAATCTTTGTTGTTCTTGCCAATGTTTTTTGATATAAAATATGCAGCTTTTACTGACATTTAAATCTGCAGCTACTTCACTTAAAGACCAATTTTCTTCTAATTTGGCTATTGCCCTGGACCTCTGAGCCTCGGTTAAGTGGGGTGGCATTTTTAATATTGCAATTGACAACTATTATCAAATTTGACAACTACCGACGACACTGATGCAAAGCCCATATTACACGATTAAATTTTGCCGTTCACATTTCGGGGACGCCAATTGTACATTGTTGCCGGATGATTGTCATGAAAGTTCCCGACCAAAAATTATAAAATATCCGATCTTCCCGCAAAAGTAAAAAAAAAACTAGTAATATTTAAATCTACTAGCGCATCCGTCCTGTTTAAAAAAAATGAATTAAATTAATTTAAATTTTTTATATAAGTCAATAAAAATGTAACAGGATAGAATAAAATAATTATACATATTTAGCAAATTTGTAATTATTTCCTGAAAATTTCAACAGTTAGAATTTTGATCGACAAATTTTGTAAAACACCCGATTTTACAACATGACGAAAATACCCGACGGCAACACTGGGTACGTACTGACCTAGAGCTATCTAGAAAAAGCGGGAAGATGCAATCACATGACTGTCAGCTGTGTTCTAATTGGTCAGCTGAGAAAATTGATATGGCGTCTAGAACACATGTGTTAATGTTTTTAGAACAATTGTTTGGAACAATGGCCAGATAAATATTTGCGTATATAAAAAGAATAAAACGTACAGTGGCAACAGCGCGTCGTATGTAAAAACATATAATTGCTATAATTATTACACATTACATATATGTGTTGTTATAAGCCAAGTTTATTGCCTAATTACCTATATAATAACATATATGTTATTATATAGGTAATTAGGCAATAAACTTGGCTTATAACAACACAGAAAAAATTTTAACAAATACTTTTTTCATGTTGGTTTTACAATAACCAAATACAACCTTTTTGAATAATTCTGGATATTTATATTATCGCTGCTAAAAGTCTTATTAATCTTATTAAGTCATATTTACTTTTCCAGAACCCTCCCAAATCTTGTTATTAGTCTGACTTACTACGACTTTTTCCGAGTTAATAAGTCTTATTCTGACTTTTTCCGACTTTATTAATCTATTTCAAAGTTTTTAAGAGAAAGTAGGTAATACTTTTAAAAGTTTTATTTTTACTTATTAAAACTTTTTCAGAGAAAAATTTCCACAAGGGTATCTTTCATTTGCTGACACACTAAAACGTTGCATTTGAAATAAATACAGAAAATATTTCATCCTTAATAAAAATAGCTGTATTAACGGCTGTTAAAAGTGTACCTACATTAATACGCCATTATTTTTATTTGTCTTTATTGAATCATCTTAAATTTCTATTTTTTTAAAGTTTCAAAAGTACCGGGAATTTTTTATTTAGAACAATTGGAAAAGAGATTGTCTAATATTTAATATTTGCTTTCTTAGCACAACTTTTATTTACGAGTGTTATTCTTATTTTAAATACAAGTTACCCGGGGCGAAAAATTAAAGGTATATTTATTTTTTAGCCCATTTTTACCGCATGTAATATGACGTCTACTTTTAAACAGAAAATATGTTGTCCCTGTGAGGCCTGAGCGTTATACCTTCACTATTTTTACCTATTTCGGTATAAGAATTTCCATAGTTTTTTGTCTAAACCGGGCAAACAACTGTATTCAAAATGCCAATTACTTAGAAATTCAAAGTTTGAATTCGACTAAAAAAATATAAATAAACTTTACATGTAAATTTTATTTACAAATTCCCTGTACTTTTGGGACAAAAGGTTTTTTGACTTGCTAAATACAAATTCGACTTCAAATTTGCTCCATTGCAACAGGTTTTCAAGAAATTATTACCTAAAAAATCATTTTTCCTCTTAACAATAATAGTAAAAAGAATAGTACTTTTGGATATCATCAAGAGTTTTGGGAAGAAAAAATATTTCATGATGTAATTAAACGTACTTTTTCGACTACTTTGCAATTCTGAGGTCATATTCTAGTTCAGCGTATCAAAAACCTTCGAGGTATGATTTCAACAATAGGAAGTTGGTTAAATTTTGTATTTCTGTGGTAACATGAGTTAAAAACAATACAAAATATTTTTAGGTCTGTAACGCCCAGTCCAAGCCCAAGTCCTCGTCAAAGTCGGTGTTCCACAAGGCCCCAAGCTCTACCTCTTCCTCTACCACCTCCCAAACATGTCCAGCTGTCAGATCCCAGATGCCTTGACAGTCTGCATCCTTCCAACACATTGGGTAAGCATTAATAATCCCCTAGAATCAACAAAAATTAATATCAAAACAAATTTGTAGCTCCCAATAGAGTTGGGTTTCACAGTAGACAGGCTAGTAGTAATAGCGGGGAAGGAAACAATAGAGAATCGTCGTTGGACGACTCGGGGGTCGTGGATGACCATGAGCCTGAGGGTGATGCCACCTCTGAAGATGCAGGGGCTCACGTGTTACCAACTGTAAGGGTAAGAAAAATATGAGGAATTCCATCAGACATTTCTGTCAATTAGTGAAACCAAAACAATTTAAAGCTCTATTTTTAACGTTTTAGAATATTAACAATATAATTTTTCCAATATTAAAATGACAGCAGATTATTTGTCTTTTGGATAAACATTTTATCCTCTTCTAATTTATAAATAGTATTTATGATTTATAGTATAAGCAAGTCTAATAAAATGTCTAATGGAATCTTTTCTATAAGTATATCAACATGTTTTTACCTATTTAACTTGTAGAGGATTGAGGTGACTCCAGTAACAGTAGCAGTGAGTCCAAAAGAAATAAAAGTAATAAAATGCAACGGTGTGGGGAGTAACAACAAGAAAAAACACGTGTACACACTACCACCGGATTATTTATCTCACATTGTTGTTATAAGTAACTAAAAATATTGTTTTAATAACTTCATCCTCTACATTCTAATTTTAGATGATCAAATTCCAGACAGAAATTGCAACGGTTGCGAACGATGCTGTATGGACTATGAAGGATGGCTCCAATTCCAACAAGTTCTGTATAGAATTGTGAAGGATCCACTTTTTGAGTTGGCCATCACTGTTTGTATTGTGTTAAACACAATGTTTTTAGCCATGGAACATCATGGTATGAGCGAATCGATATTGAGGGCTCTAGATATAGGCAATAAGGTAGGTAACAGCGGTGAGGGTTAAGTGTTTAAAAAAGTCAATGGTTGCTTTGATTTATTTGAGATATCAATAAAATGTGATTATTTTGTAGGTTTTTACTTCCATTTTTACGTTTGAGTGTTGTTTAAAGATTATGGCGTTGAGTAAAGATTTTTTCCACTGCGGTTGGAATATTTTTGATTTAATTATTGTCTCTGCAAGTTTACTGGATCTTATATTTGAACTTGTTGATGGTTTGTCGGTTTTAAGAGGTCTAAGATTGGTAAGTAAATTTTAAAACTGCAAGTGGTGTACGGAAAAAGACCCATATTTTCATGTTTACAAATATTAAGTGTCAAAAACTATATAAATGTAAAGTGATGTTGACAATACAAATTAAAAAAATGTCAGAGCCTATTTAATAGTATTACACAATTGACGAATATCAAAAGCCCATTTTAGTATACTAATATACAGGGTGTCCCAGAACTCGCGCCACATAGAAAACCGAAACGTGCCGAAAGTAACGTGAAACACATATTTGAAAATTAAAATTGTCTAACGCAAAGGATAAGCGAGATAAGAATAAAAAACGATAGCCAACCCCAATAGATGGCCATAGGGAATTCTTTAAATTGCTAGGATACTTAGGTTGCATTGTTGATACTAAAAAATATGTAAAATATTTGGTCCACTGGAATCCAATTCATTGTGACACTGCTGTCAAACTCCTGTCATTAATATTATATTAGGTTATAAATTAAGTTATTATAAATAATGTTTTCCTTAGATGATTATACTGAAATGATAATTATTTATTTATTTAGTGTGGGCGCAACGCCAGGGAGACAACGCGAGTTTTTTCCCAGCCCTTTCCTAATCGTTATTTTAATAACCTCATTTTTGAAAGCTTTTGACAACTTAGTAAATACAGTTGGCCAAAAGATTTTTAAATGTTTTTAATACAACAATGTTCTATCGTCTCCTAGCAATTTTTAAAGTTCTTACGTTTAACCTAGGCGAGAGCTCTCGGTATTGGCTGCCGCTTTTTTCGATTCGATTACACTATTACCTAGAAATTTTTTATTTTTAAATTTGGCATCTCCATTGCTATCGGCACGCCCCCTTTTTCTCTGTGGCGCGAGTTCTGGGACACCCTGTATATATGTATATATATATTTTAAAAACATATTTTACAATGTTAATACCTTGTTAAAAGCACATATAAGAATTTATTCATGTAAAACCACCTGTAAGAATTTCAAATCTACTCATTAAGAAAGTAAACACATTAGGAATGTTGAAAACACATTTTAAAATATTTTACTATAATTGAGAATTGAAAAACACCCTATAAAACGTTATATAATTTATAAAACTGTTTTAGTTAAGAGTTTTAAAGTTGGCTCAATCCTGGATAACGATGAAGGTCCTTTTGAGCATCATAATAAGTACCATAGGAGCCTTAGGAAATTTGACGTTTGTTTTGGTTATAGTAATTTACATTTTTGCCGTCATCGGCATGCAATTGTTCGCGAAAGATTACACGGATCAAAAGTTTTTTCCTGATCCCGTACCTCGATGGAACTTCACCGATTTTTTTCATTCTTTTATGATGATTTTTCGAATTTTGTGCGGCGAATGGATTGAACCTCTTTGGGATTGTATGAGGGCAGAGCAACATGAGGTAAAATGTATAAACAATATAATCTATTATTATTAATTACCTATAATTTTAGAGTCCTGGTATCTGCCTGGCAGTCTTTCTTCCAACATTAGTAATGGGTAATTTTATGGTTCTGAACCTTTTCTTGGCCTTGTTGCTTAACAGCTTTAATTCAGAGGAACTAAAACACAGAAAAGAGGTATTTTATAATTATTTAATTATGCATGATTTAATAAATTTATTTATTACAAAAACTTGTTTTTTTTGCACTTCTATCTATTTATTTTTGCATGATATATGGTATGTATTTAATACTTTTAATTAGAATCTGTGTTAAATTTATTTTTGATAATTTAGGAAGTGGGTGACGAATCCAAGTTAGCGCAAAGTTTTCAAAGAATTCGCGATTTGGTACGATCAAGACGACAAGCTGAACGTCAAAATGAAAACAATTCAAGGTTGGAACAAATTGTGAGGGAGGTTATGCAAAGACATGCAGAAGAGGAAGCATTCAAAGTTGGTGAGTATTATTTTTTCGGAAAATAATTTCGAAAAATTATTTAAATTAGTTTTTTTAATAATGCTATTAAGTTTCCAATAAGCATGAAAAACTATGTATCATTTGACAACTAAATGAAAATTATTAAAAGAATATAAAGTTCTTTTTTTTATCTGGACTGCAGCAACGTTGCAAATTTAGGGTTTTAGTTGGTAAATGCAGTTGTCAAGTTGGTCGCATTGATTAAAACAAACTAAGCTAGTTATAAATCTATTCGTAGTTAAAAAGGCAATTAATTTGGCTTTGGTGGTGCTTGGATGAGTAAAATCATATAAAAAAGTAGTTAAATATAGGTTGCTTTACGGCCCAGAAAAGAAAGTATTCCTTAAAAGAAATTAAAATTTTTTGTGAACGTAAATGTTGTCCAATGGTGAATAATGTAAAAATAATGTGTGATGTAATATTTATAAAACCAAATTCGTTACTTTTTTACTACAAAAATGTCCATAAGGCGATGTACTTTTTTTTCCATTGTGGCATTTGGCATAATTTCATCAAAATGAAGTTTTGCCCTCAAAAGGGCTTTTAAATTCGAATTCGTTGCTATTGCGAGACCGTAGGTCGAGCGATTTTGTCAGATGACATTTTTTCGAGTCAAATTGCTAAAAGGTAATAAGTTTGAAAGTTAGAAAACATAAATTTATCCTGCCAGAAAAAAAAGCTCGAGTGTAATTCGACGAGATAATTTTGTGATTAATTGATGATTAAGTCTCTTTTTTAAATTTATTTAAATGAACAATTAGTAAATGAACAATTATTATAAATAATTCTGGATGTAGAGGTATAAGATAGCTCCAGTGTATTATTTTCTTCAATAAAATCTGTAATGCTTGCATTTTGAATTTTGTTTTCATTGTTTGACTGACAGGCAATTTTCATATCATTTCGTAAATTTGAAACTATTTCTTCATGATGTGTTGCATCTATTTGTAAATATGGGTTTAAAGAATTGCTATTAGAATAGCCAGTTAATTTAATGAGTTGTTGGTCGCTTACTCCCGTTTTAGCTAATTCGGATACAGTACTGGCTCGGTTTGAATGGTTTGTTATTTTGATCTTTTTTGTGTCCAATTGCAGTTGCTGAGATTTGCGTCCATTTTGAGATTATGTTTTTACCCAAGGGCATGTTTTTGTACCAACCTTTAGAATTTTGTTTATTCCAAAATGGATTTGGAGTAAGAAACATACGATCTGATGTATTTAGATCTTTTTTCCAAAAAAACTTTAAATAGTCTTACTGGACAAATGCTTGGATCTTCCTCATTTTTTAAAATCCATTTACTGTCACTTAATCTTTTAGATCCTCCTTGTGCAGTCTTAGAAAACACTGGATTGTATTCAATTCTGCCTGAGAGCATCCCATCGTTGGTTTTTTCTTCACTAAAATAATACAACATGCATGCTGCTGCTTCTCCACCTCTGCATGCTAACTCGTAAGAAACAATGTGGAAGAATCTTTTTTGTAAACCTTCTGGTTCATTTCCTTTCCATATCTTAGCCATTTTTATAATTTCCTCTTTTGTGAGAGCATTTGAACTTCTTTTTCTGCTTTCCGGAATTCTTTGTAACTCCTTTCTTTTTGCATTTCTAGCATCACGGGCCTCTTTGAATACAATATCGGAAAATGGATTAATTTTGATATTAAAATCTTGATAGTATTTCTCTTGAAACATTTTTGCCGTTGAGTTCCACATAGTTTTGATAACGTATTCCTTATAATCAACTCCATTAATTTTTTTCATATTGTATGCCCAATCAAGCAAAATATTTGCTAAGTCTTGCTGTGATGTTGAGTCGAGTAGTTTGTAATTCCTCGCATTACAAAATGCCATAAATTGTCGCCAAATTGACGCTTTATTATTTAAAGTGTTATTTGGGATACTATTTACAATTTGTTCTTTAATTTTTTTGTCGGACACGACACCAAAACGATTCATTTTAAAAGATTTTTTGACAACTGGTATTAAAAAATAATTATTTGCAAGGTTGTCAAGGAAATAAAATGACACGAGGTAAATAAATAATTATCCACTTGCAAAAAGTTACCTTCCTTTTTATCCGTTATCAAAGTGACTTAAATGTAATTCAACTACGATGTTTTCATGTAAGAAAAAAATTATCAATAATAAATATTATTGTCAATTTGACAGTGTCAAAGTATTTTATAAAATTCCTAGCAGAAGTACCATTTTTAAATACTAAAAATACTAAGTCAAACTGGCATAAGCCACCAACCTAATAAAAAAACACCAGATAAAAAAATGGACTGTATTTAAATAGGTACTGTTTTTTATTTTAAATTCATGTTTTTGGGACAAAAGAATAAGATAAATGTTTGACTTTTAATATCTATTTTTTATTTTATGGTAATTTTAGCCTCTGGAAAAACAAAAGCCTGCACCATTCAGCAAACAACAGCGACTGTGGTGAATTTTCCAAGGGACAAAAGAAGCTATCAAGAAGCAATGAACAGGCCTGTTTCTATTATTAGCTACGATCCGCCTGAATATCAAGTAAATAATTATTTTTTTGTTGGGATTGTTTTGTATTTATGGTTGTTTTAATTTTTTTCATTAGGAGGCAATTCAAGAGACCGATAAGGAGAACAAGAATTCGAAGAGATATTCGACTTTGATAAACGGCAATTCAGCGGACAGTGACACTTTACTAATCGAGAACAAAAAGACTGACGCTAAAATTTTACAGAATATGTCTTCTGGACCAACAAACGAAAGCAAAGGTAATATAGAAGATACACATTTTTTTTTAATATAATTTTTCCTGAATAAAATTTAGCTTACTTTATGTTACTACTAGAAATCTATCAACTTTTTCTAATTATCTAAAAGCTTTTTAATTTGTCCATGTTTTAAACCATTCTGGTATTTTATTTCATGTTGAATATAAATATAATATCTCCATTTATCTAGAATTACGTCAAGTTTAATAATCATATCGCGATATATAAGTGCAGCTTAACTGTTAACCGATAAGACACACTCGCGATTATGCGCATCATTTACTGGTAGGATTTGAGTCTCTCGTCTAGCGACTCAAGTGGCAAACATCATCCTCGTGTATAATAGCCTGCATTATCTCTCGTATAATAATATACTATGATATATATAATTCTTCAGTAGGTCACTGTCACTAAACTCATTTTAAACGGCTGGACCGATTTTGATGAAATTTGTGTGTGTTTGAGTGAGTTTGATGGTTTAGATTCAAAATTGGACCCGGTAGATAGAGCTGCAATTAGGTTTTACCTTGTTTGTTAATATAATATAATATAATATAATATAATATAATATAATATAATATAATATAATATAATATAATATAATATAATATAATATAATATAATATAATATAATATAATATAATATAATATAATATAATATAATATAATATAATATAATATAATATAATATAATATAATATAATATAATATAATATAATATAATATAATATAATACTATAATTTAAGGTAAAAAGGATATAATTTTTTTTATTAAAAAATAAAATATTTGTTGACCCAAAAAAGATCATCCAATTTAAATGTTTATGGAGTACACAATAGAAAAAAAATCTTTTGTTTCTTAAGAAAATTAATTTACAATTAAAAAATTTGGGATCAGATTTACAGGGTGTTAATAAAGTAGAAAAACATTAAAATGCTTCAAGAGTACCATCAGTACTTTAAAATAACACAAAGTTTAAATACAAATTTTCAAATGAAAATTCTAATTAAAATTATTCATTTTGTAAACGTCAAAGTCACTTCCACATCTTAGGGGGCATCCATTAATTACGTGAGGTGTTTAGGGGGAGGGTAGTCTCGGCAAATATCACGTAATTTTTTTTCCAAAAAAAAACAGTGTAAAATTTCAAGAAAACTGGGTTATATTAAATAAAAAATGTTTTTCCACTAAAATAGGATTAATAAAACTATTAATAAATTCATTTATTTGGAAAAAAATCATTCATTTATTAAATATGAATAACTGTTAATAAATATTCATTAAATAATCAAATTTAAAAAAGTTTGAAACATGCACGTGCACGACTCTGTGTAATTAAAAATAGTGGTAATTTGATGGTAAAAAAATATAAAATAAAATAAGTAAATAATACTCACGTGAGATTAAGGGAGGGGAGGGGGTAGAACAAAATCTCACGACATCTCACCAAAATTGCCTCGGGTAATTAATGGATACCCCCTTATTAACATCAGTATTTTGATTTTTTAAAGGCATTTTTAAAAAAGTTTAAGCAAAGAAGAGCGTATTTATTTATTCTAAACTAAACATTATACACAAAAAATACATATATTGCATTATTTTCAGAACATAATATGATAAAATTAGCTTGATCCTGAGTCACGTAGTGGGACTTTAATAATACATCATTATTTTTTAAATTAATTTTTTTAACTGGGAAAACTTTATAAACAATGATTTCTTGTCGTAAAATAAATAATATTTTTTTTCCTACTCCAACCGCAGAAACAATGTATAAATGGCTCATTTTACCAAATTTGTATCGGGTGGTCACGAAAATAAATAACAAATAAAATTTTTGAGTACATGCGGAAAAACGGTTTTACCTATGATGAATTCGGAAAATGCCTAAATAAATATGCACTTGGTACAGAAAGGGTGTATAGCCAAAGTGTTAGAACTTGCATTTTTTTACATTAAAAATTTATATAGAACGAAATTGGGGAACGCAGAAGAAGTGTCGATATTATAATAAATTAGTATTGCATGCAGTCAAAAAGCGATACTGCTTTGGGGCACCCAATAACTTTAATGCCACATTCAACCTTTTGTTATGAACCCAAAACGATATATAAATACAAAAAAAAATTATGGTCAATCTATATTATATCATAATACCATAATTCCTTAATTGAAGGGACGAGTGGATAAAGGAGTTAAGTATAAATTTTGATAATAAAGTATGAGGCGCCATATGTTCCATAATT